TATATATATATATATATATATATATATATATATATATATATATATATATATATATATATATTATGTTAAAGGTTTAAATATTTCTATTTTAAGACCAAATACAATAAGAATGTCTAGGATTAGGATGTATGTTCGGCTATTGATACTTTTACCGTACGCTGAGGAAGAAATATTTGAAAATTTATCTGTGAGATGCAAAGTTTTTGTCTCAATGAGATGAATTTTATACCTCACAAATGAAATTTCAAGTGTTCGTCTCTCAGTGCACGCTTTGTCGGAATAATCACCGGGAAAAATAGCCCGCTTTGTAGTAACCGTAAATGGTCCTTTCGAAAAGCCCGTATCTCTCCTAAGAAAAGTTTCTCAAGAATGGAAGAATCGCTTTGGTAGAGAGTCAATGATTAAACATTGAACGCGACATTGTGTTCTGTTAGATTGCAACATTGTTTCTCTGCTCACACAGAGAAGTTCAAACGAAAAGTTCAAGAGAGTTCAAACAAACGAAAGGATTACCGTAGAATAGAAGAGAACGGAGAAGAGATACGGCCTCTTCGACAACCGCGTCAGGTCTCGGCGAACGAATAATCCAAAGTAATCCTACGCGAGTGATTAACGACGGGAGAGTTCGAGTCTAAAGTATAATATACCCTCGCGGAAAGGGAATAAATCAGCATAGAATTTATGTAAACTTATTTCTCGCGAGAAGTCGGGGACTTCCAGAAGAGCGTCGCAATCGGTAATCTTAACTACTCGACAATCGCATACCTCGCTAAAGATATTTCCCACAAGTGGCGGAAATAAATAAAGAGAATACATCGCTTGAACATAGTCACGATTTACCTGTTCTTTGCTACCAGATAATTATCAAATAATTGTAGCCTCGCGTTTACGATATATTGAGAAAGCAAAAATTATGCGATTGCTGCGAACGGTCCTCAGGTAACTTTCTCACGCTCGAAGTGTGTGTGTGTGTATGTGTATGTGTGAAGATATGACCGTCGAGTAGTCAAGGTAACCTCGGTCAGTCCTTACAACCGAGACCGGCGGACCAATTGCAAATACCGCCGACAGGGTCGAAGGACAACTTGGCCGGGCAGGTGTACTCGGTCCCGATCACCTGGCCGTTCACCATACGAGCGCAGGTGATGAATTTCTTGCACGAGTACGGGTGCGGGAAGTTGCCCTGGTCAAGGCAGCGTATCGTGCCCTTGCTCGTGAGGAAGAGCTTGCTGTTCAGGAGAGCCTTGCCGACGACGATCGGCACCTCGTCCTCGTAATAGTCGTAGTCGACGACCGGCGGTCTCCTAGGTCTCGTGGTCGCATTCACCGTGGGCCTGTCCTTCGCCTTGGACCCTTGCCGACTCCTCGAGACGCTGTTGTACCTCGAGACCGTCCTACTCACCGGGGTAGAATCGGTTCTAGGTGCTATGGTGGTGCTTATCTTGCGCCTTACGGCGTCCCTTAACTGCGCGCGACCTGATCAGTCGTGGAAACTGATTAATCGGCGTGCCGTCGCTTGGGGGCGTAAGCGGGTCACGATGATGAGAGACTGATTCCCCGGAGTGAGAGAGAGCGTGACACGAAGTAGAGCGAAAGAGAAGAGTGGGCGAGATTCAATTAGTAAGACAACCGGATCATGAGAGTCAGCGGCTGCTGAAGGACGAAGAGACGGGTATCTCGGCAACCTTGTCAGGAATATCAGGAGCATCCGCGTGCTACCAGACCTGCCGTTCGTTGTCGCACGGTTGTACGATTCATAATGAGCGTGATACGAAGCGGTTATTCCTGAGAAGGTCGATCCTTTAACCAACCACTCAAACCAACAAATCAATCAATCAACCAACCAATCAATCAACCAACTAACCAACCAACCAACCAACCAACCAATCAATCAACCAACCAACAAACCAACCATTTAGATCCTCTCCAAGTTCGTCGATGGATTTATGCCATGTACTGTCCATTCTGTCGGTGGTGGCATGAGTTCAGTAATTAGTAATTAATTCGCTTAGTAAGCAACCGCGAATGAACGTGATTCGTAAATGAATGCGTTTCGATAAGAATGAGAAGGAAAGAGAGAGAGAGAGAGAGAGAGAGAGAGAGAGAGAGAATCGAGATTGATGGTGCGTATTAAAATTTGCATTAGTATGTAAACAGCGAACGTTGAGACGAATGAGGAAGAGATCATCCGCGCTTGGATCGTACGTATGACTGCGTTCTTGAAGACAAGTATAGCGAGAGAACAAAAGACGGATATTATTCAGCGAAGCGAAGATCACGAAAGAAACACTAGAATATCGCGCAATATAGGAATTAGTCAATCGAGAAATGTAACGTGGAATCCTGCTTTGAAGAGAGAGAGAGAGAGAAAAAGAGAACCGGTCTGTCGATTAGCACGTCACAGTCTGATGAGAAATCGCATTGAGAGTCGGCGATGTCGAGGATGATGATCGGGAGAGTCCTTTCGATAACAGAAATAGGCCGCGGCGAAGTCTCGTTAAGTGAAACGTGGCGTATAGCAAATAAAACCCCCATGAAGTAGTCCATGAAGTGGATCAAGCTCGAGCGCGTGAGAGAGAGACTTTAGATTAGAAGAATTAGATAGTCGGGTGGCGTGGACTCTAGTAAGTATAATGTACCAGTGTCCGACGACGAGGAGGATGGCGGGTCCGCCACTGTCACTGCGAATTCTTGGGCGCGGGTGCTCTGATCGGACACGTCCGCTCTCTGGTCGACCTCGACGCCGGCGGCTTTCACGTATGACTGCTCGGTGAACTCGTACGGACCTGAAAAGAGCGCGGAGGCGAAGCCCTACTTAGAATGATGCACACAAAACGATGAGATTCCATTACGTTTTCAGTCTGAATTTCAGTGTAAATCAATCATTCCAATATGAACACCAAGTATATCAGTAACATTATATTAATGTTCTAATTATGCACTCAAGAATGTAACTGTTATATGACATACGTGTTATATTGCATTTACATTGTTGAGTGTGGAATTATAACACTGACGTTATATTGCTGATAGTTGGTATTTATGTATTGGGATCTTATTGATTCACATTAATTTAGACGAATTCAGACTAAAGTTTATGCGATATAATCGTTTTGCGTTCATTAACCCTAGAACTTGAAAAGTTTGCTCTGAGCAACTTTAAATGTTGCTGTTTTTACTGTTTTTAAAAGCATGTATTCTCTCTTTTTCTCTTTATTATAACTTTTCAACTCTATCGAATCGCAAAAATATTAATAGAATCATACTCCTCAAGAATTCCTACTCTGATTAAAAAAAATTAAATTTCAATAATTTTTCCAGAAGTTATGAGCAGAAGAAAATGTGCTAAAATTTACCTATGTTTAAGGCTAAAATCATTTTTTACTGTTTAAGAGAAAGGTTCTAGAGAGTGAAACAGGGAAGAGGTTCTCAGAAAATCAAGAGTGAGCTGGAATTGTAACAAGAGGTAAATACACATTTTCGTTAAACTTACCGACAACATCCATTCTCGATGACAATGTGCTTTCCGCAAAAGGTCTACTTCTTCGTTGAGCGGTCGACGCGGTGGACAGAGTGCTGGCTGCTGGAGTGGCCGCGGTTGAGCGCGTCGTCATCGTTATCCTCTGTCTGGTGGTGCGTCCGATGGCCGACTTGCGACTAACGGATGCGCTACTGTCGATTGTCCAGGTATTTACCTGTTTATCGAGTAATTGATTTATATAGCGCGTACTATGGGGTTATCGGCGTATTAATAATGAAATACGGTGTCTCGATTTTGCTGGCAAACGCATGCACAGTGGATTGCAAAACGGCTTGGATACGATGAAATTGAGAGCTCATCAAACAATCGTATTAAGAACACTAAATAATATCAAATACTATTAATTAATAATGATAATAATTGTGAATATAGTTGTTAAGCAAGTCCGTCAGTAATAATTCTAAATTTTGACAGTTTGGTGAGCTCCCAACTTCATTGTGTCTAAACCGATTTGCAAGCTACCGTGCGCGTTCGTCATCTCGAGCAAAGCAAGCTTATAGATTGATTAAGATAAAGTCGTTGAAGACACATCAGAGTAAGCGAAGTGGGCGCGTCGCGCCTTTCAGAAAGAGATTTGTTAATCGATGTTGAGGAGAACCGTAGCTGCGAAGATGCCGAGAGTACACTTCGGATCCGTTCGCGTGTCAGAGCGTTGGTTCAGAGGCAGACAGACAGGCAGACAGACAGAGGAAAAGATCAAGTCGCTTCCATGTTTCGTCCCAAAGTAGAAATATCTCGGATAGTCGTAGAAAGAGGAGAATAGCGCTACGTGTCCTCGTAGGCAGGCAATGCGATGATGATGATGATGATGACGATGACTTTCTACGTGGGCGCGCAAAGAGCGATAATGTAGCTGCGTTTCTCGTTTTCTCGAGAGGCGTCTCGGTTAGATCGAGCGAGAGAGGAGACCTCGTCGTAGCCCGGGCAGGCATTCGCGGGCAAAGCTACCGGAGTTACAGATCGGCTCCGTGCGAATCGGCCGCTCGTTGATGAACGGCGTCGTCCCGTGGGATGGATTATTTCGGTTAGACGTGAGTGGACTAGAGCTAGTAGAGGAATGCCGCCCCTCGTCTACGGCGATCACAGCCAGTCATTCGGCCGAGATGCGGTGTTATTTTAAGCGATCTTCATGTGACGCTGCGTTTTTACGTTAACTTTCCATATGCCGATGAGGATAGATTGATTTTAGGCGTCGAGGCATATTGATTAGGCAACGAAAGCGACGCGTTCTTGGCAGAGGTATAGCAGTAGATATCCCACAGAGAAGGTATCATGCTGAGCAAGTCTCCTCGGCGGGAATTCTGGTTCCCTTTGTATCCGTTCAAGCCGAGGCGATTCGAGACGACGATAACGTCGATTGCGTTTCGAGAGATCTCGTTTGGTTAACGGCAAGAAGAAGTGACGGCACTTGCGGCGGTTAAGCGAGTCGCAAGACTACGGGGTTATTTCGTCCTTATGAGCTTTTCATTAGACTCGTTAGACTCGTTAGACTCTTTTTCCCTTTCACTCTTCGCGGTGACGACGTTGTCCCGCTTGGTTAAGGCAACATGCGACCGGTCAAGGAGTTACAGCGTGTTATACAGCGGACATTCAAGGCGGGAAGTCAAGGCTCTCCGGTTTTAAAACGGCACTGACCTCGTGTGAGGGCCGATCAGTGTCCTCCTCGACTCGAACAGACGGCGCCTCCGTGGTACGTGGCTCCACCGGCTGTTCGCTCGTCGTCGCTTCTTCTTCTGCGGGTACAGATCTCGTCGTCTTCTCCTCGCCGTCGGGAAGATTGTCGCTCACGTACAGATTGCTCGAGAAATTGCCTTGGAGATCGTCGTCGGTAGAATCGGGATCTTCGCTCGCTGCGTTCCCTGTCTCGGGCTTGAGTCTCACGCTCTTCAGTACGACTCGCATTCTTCTGTTTGTTCTCTCACCGAAGTGACTCTTGCCGGTGCGAGTGCCACTCGAGAAATCGCCTTGGAGATTCTCGTTGGTGATATCTTGATCTGCATTCGTTTCTTCGGCCGCGTTTCTCTCTTTGGAGACAGGTTTGATCCTCTTCAGTACAACTCTCATTCTTCTCCTTGTGTTTTCTTCGTCGGGAAAGCTGTTGCCGGCGCGAAGATTAGTCGGAAGAGTGTGTGAGATATTTTCCTCGCTGAAATTGGGATCTACGCGTACTCTTCTGGTCGTGGAGTTCATCTCTGCGGATTTGAGTCTCTTCAATACGACTCTCGTTTTTTTCCTCATCTTTTCCGCTTCATCGAGGTTCCCGCTTGTGCGAAGAACGCTTTGCGATCCGCGTGAAGAACTTATATCGGGAGAACTGATGTCTCCACTAGCTTCTTCGTCAAAGTTGCCGTCAGGTTGAGACTTTATTCTTTTCAGTACAATTTTCCGTCTTCTCCCTGCCTTCGTATCTTCACGATAAGCTCGAATCGCCGCGTCTTTCGTCAAGTTGGACGATTCTCCAAGTACCACTGGAGTCTCTGCTGCGGGGGAAGTACTCGTTTCTTTTTTCTCGACTTTCTCTATGACTCTCTTCAATACTACCTTCGTTCTTCTTCGCACATCTTCTACTCGATCGTGCGAAACGTTTTCTCTAACGCTATTCCGAACATCGACGACATTCTCGTCGGATCTGACGGTGTCGTTGGTTGCTTCGGAGCCAGATCGTAGTCTTTTCTGTACGACTCTTCTCCTACGATTCTCCTGGATCACCCTCCACGACGGGGTATAGATCGGTCTTTGTGGTTGGCCACGATACACCGTGACTCGGCGTCGAGGATATTGCCTGGTCGGCCGCCTTGTCGTGGGCGTCTCGACGTCTCCATTACTTGGCCGATTTATAACGCGACGATGAACTACGATTCGCTCCGAGGTTCTCCGGCCGAATTCATGACCGATCGCGGCCAATTCCGACCTTGTCCGACCTCTTGTTCGATTTTGCGCGGGCCTTGCAGCAGTCTCCTCGGAGACTGTCTTCAGTCCCGGTCTGATAGGCTCTTCTCTCATCGTCCTTACGGAACTCGTTTCATACGTGTTTCTCGTAGTTGTTCCAAGTGTCACGTTCGTCACAAGCGACTCGCGGGAGGTCGCGGGAATCGACGAAAGAACTGTGGACTCGATTGGGACGAGGGTTGAAGAAGCCCGGTTGGTCGCGGTAGTCTCGACTTGAGTGAAGGACGCAGTCGTAGCTGTCGACGTTCCGGAATCGGTATCGGCGAGGGATTTCGGGATCGAGGTCGTCGTCACGGTGGATTTTGGGGAAGTTTCGTGTGTCATGAGAATCTCAGTGGTGTGAGCGGACTGTTTGGTCTCTGTGACGCTTGGTACTTCGACATCAACGTCGACGTCACGAGCCATCGGGGCTGTGAGCGATATCGTGGATGATTCGGTTGTTGAAGTCATCGCGATTGTTGGCTCCGTTGAAATCGGCTCCGCGTTCGTAACGGGAAGTTCTGACGAAGTCTCTGAGGAACTCTCAGAATCGGTTGTGGTCCACGAGTTGTCGGCATTCGTGACGAAAGTAACCGTAGAAGCTACACTCGCACTTACGGACGCTGTAGCCGTGTTTGCGAGATCGGTAGTTACGGGAATAATTGCCGCGGCAAACTCAGTCGTGACTGTTGCATCCGTCATCGTCGTCATCGAGTCTGTGTCTGTTGTGGGTGCAGCCGCACTCGCGACCTCATTCGGTGTTATCCAAGCAGTGGTCTCTGGAGCTATCGTGGTCGAGTATTCCTCTTGAATAGTTGTTGGGATGGTGTTTGCGGAGTAGTTTGCGACTGTAGAGATGAACGTAGTCGTATTCACAATCTCAGTCGGTGTTATCCTGGTAATAGTTTCTGGAATTGTCGTGGTCGAGTGTTCCTCTTGGATAGTCGTCGAAATAGCGTTCGCGTAATTTGCGCCTGCAAAGATGGGTGCAGTTACACTCACGATTTCAGTCGGTGGCACTGTCCAAGAGGTGCTGGTCTCTGGCACTGTCTTGGTCGAGTGTTCCTCTTCGACAGTCATCGGGATAGTGTTTGCGGAGTAACTTGCGACTGTAGAGATATCCTCAGCTTCGGTGCTCGCGGTTTCAATTGTAGTTCCGGGTTCAGAGTCGCTTGCAATTTCGTGCATGCTCGTAGTTTGCGGAATCGTGGTCGTGGGATGATTCGTGGGGACACTCTCAATCGCGGGTGTATACGTCGTGATCAGAGGATCGGTGATGCCGATCGCGGGCGTATCGGTAGTCGCCGAGCGATCCGCGATCGTGGAGATGGTGCTCTCGAGTCCGGTGCTTGCGGAATCGGCTTCCATCGCCTGCGTGCTCGCCTTCGTCGACATTGTCAACGTGTGGTAATCTGTGATCGTGGAAGCAAAAGTTTTATCCGCGGTAATCGTCGTGGAGTCGCTCGCGATCGCAGTTGAATCCGCAGCAGCCATGGCATAGTTCGCGTTCGCAAAGGTGGTTTCGTCCTCTGCGAACGTGGTCGTGATCGTGGAGCCGGTCGCGGTAGAATCGTCCATGACGTCTGTCGACGCGGGTGTCGTTAAGGTCGCAGGATTTTCTGTAACTTTTGACGTGAGTTCTCCGACGAGATCATCCGACGTGCTTACGATCCAAGGGTCACTCTCCGCGACCGACGAGTCGGTGGTCAAAGTCATCGTCGCTTCTGTGGTCGTACGACTTCTCACAGGAAGTCTCTGTGTCGTCACAGAGTCTCCTCTGAAGACACTCGCCGTGCTGCGAAGGAAACTGTCCTCGGTTCGCCTTATGGCGTCTTTGATCGGCGAGATGGTGGTTCTGATGCGTTTCTTGGTTACTATACGTTTCCCAGTCCACAGCGGAGTGGTGAGTTCGTTGTATTTGCTGATTGCGAGGGCGATGGCTCGCCTCGTTGGTGTCGTCGGAGAGATGACGGGCGCGTCAGGAAGAGACGTTGCGTCTCGGCCGAATCCACGTAACGATTTCCCTCTCTTTAACGCAGCGCCGTCGACGGGATTCATGGTTACCTCGAGTTCTTCGTAATCCGCAGTGTTCTCCACGCTGTTGGAATCCTCTGAGGAAACCGTTGAGAAGCCGAAGGTAGTGAACTTCGCTTCACGAGCGTTTTCGTTCTCGTTGCTGATGATATTGTTCGCGCGGTCGTCGATGGTGCTCGACTCCACCTCGCTCTGATCGTTACGAGCGACGGTGGGAACGCCAAGGATCGGAGTGGTCTCCGTCTGTTGCTCGATGGGAGCATAAGATGACGCGAAACTTTCCGTCCACGTGGACGACGATGGCTCGTTGTCGTTCTTGGTGACGTAAAAGCCACGCGTCACCGAGCTAGGAGTCAGGCTCGCGAGGGGAAGGCCGCGCATCGTTGTCGGCTTCAGATACATCGCGGTCGAAGGCTGCTCCGGTTTGTTCTCATCCTTCCGAATAGCGCTCGTGGCCGATGCTCGTTCTTCAGGATCATCCTTGCTCTGTGCAGCACGAGATCTCACTTTGCTCTCGGAGGCTTGTCGCAGCCACGAGTCGCTGGACTCTTCGATGAGCTCTCTCGCGCGCTCTGACGCGAGTTCGCTCGGCGGATCCAACGGATCGTTGGTCCCGCCGAGTTCTGACTCCTCGACAGCCTGCCGGCTAATGTCGTTGTCCACGTCGAAACGCGGCAAGTGCGAGAACACGGACGACGGCGCCGTGACGGTATAATCGTAGGTCGTCGGATAGCCGATCAGCTCCTTCAGGGTCGGCAGCCTGATAGCTTCCGAATCGGCGACCTGAAAAGCAGAACAAGGCAGCGCGCTTTAATGCGGAGATCCCCCGGGATCTTGCTCTCTTTGTTCTTTCTCTTCTGACCTCTCCCCCCTTTCCCACTTCGTCTCATATTCATAATCTTTCCCTTTTGCGGTTTCCGTTGTTCTGTCTCTGTGTACGCGTGTATGTGTGTGCGAACCGCGCCAGCTCTGGAGATGATGAGTAAGAGCGCGAAGAGGAGAGCCTCTCGGGGCCTCTTTAACTGTCTGTCGACAAGCGCCGCGAACGTGTGCGTGTCCCGCTTGCTGCGTTAATGAAAAGCAGTCATCCCTGGCGTTGAAGTGGCGTTTAGTGATGATCGTACTTGCGCTCGTCGTAACGATCGTTAAAGTGGTGGTAGTGGTGGTGGTGGTGGTGGTGGTGGTGGTGGTGGTGGCTACGTCGTCGAAAGTTATATTCAGAGGTCTCGGTCAAAGGTTCCTCTGGGGGGAGAGAGATAGAGAGAGAGAGAGACGTAAGCGGATGAAGATGCTCATTATGATTCGTCGTTATTGATGGTGATGATTGGTCATGCGTGATGACGATTATTCGGTCGGTCGTCGTGTGCCAGAGCGAGTACAGAGCCGTTCTTGTCCTTGTCCTTCCGCTTCACGTGCTCGTGTAACTTTATTTAACAAGCGTCCATCTCTCGTTGGTACCTTAAATATACTTAACACGCTCGCGCGTTATATATATATATGTACATTAGTAACTTTGAGGTCGACGAACATTAAATCGCAGGCGCCTGTTAATTCTAGCGCTTCCGCCGATACACCCCGACGGTCGCGATTGACCCTGGGAGAAGCACCCGGGGACTCTTAATGGCGGTCTATATATATATACATATTGATCGACATCTGCGTCCGATGACGACCGAGTAACAACTGCATCATGTTGCTATTACTTCGCGGAGGCTTTGTCGGCGATCAGGTTGCTGAACACCGACTCGATCTCGATGGTCGAGGATTCGTGCGACTCAGTGGTGAAGCGACCGTAACGATAGTTGAATTCGCCCTCGATCGGCAAGGTGGAGCGCTCGACTCCCGGACGGATCTCGTTGACCGACTCGTCGTCGTCGTCGTCGTCGCTTGATCCTGCAGTCATCGAGGACGACGTCGAGGTCGTTGAGAGGAAATGGTCTGCTGGTACTCTCGTGGTAGACGTCAGTGACGAGTACTTGGTCTTGATGAGGATCTTCTGTCTCTCGGTGGTACCAGACTCCGCCACCGAGGTGACCAGTCTGGTGACTAACGGCTTCACCGTCGTGGTGCTCGCGTAGTCCACCAGGTTCGAGTCGTAAAGTGGGTCCCCGTTCCTCGGTGTCGGCCTCGTTGTCGTTCTAAGCGACTGTTGCTTCCGGTGAACGGCGTCTGCGGCATAATCGAACTTCTTGGCTGGTATCAGTGTCTCTGTGACCGCTGCCTCCGTGGTGGTGGTGATCGACGGACGCTTCGAGTACGAACGCGTCCGGAAGTATTGCCAAGTTGTCGGTTCCGTAGGCGGCGTGTCCGCAACAGTCGTCCCTTCGATCTTGCCGCGCTCTAGAAGCCTGTAACGTGTGCGTGGTTGCCTGAAACTAGACTGCCTGAATCTGGCGTCTTTCGTCTCCGGCGTGTCTTCGGACTCCTCGGGCGCAGAGTCCAGATGCGGATGGAACCGTCTAGGCGAGAGAGCCTCTTCAGGGTCGAAGGGTCTCTTCAGGATAACGGGTACCTTATATCGCGGTCGAACTTCGAGTCTGCGATTGGCGCTTAGTGTCGAGCGATACGAATCTTGTTCCGCGAATTCCGTCGTGTCGGTTCCGCGATTCTCGACGTCTTCCAAACGACCCGAGGGATAATTTCGGGAAAACGTCGATGTCGTCGGGGTGTAATGTCTCCAGAAATCCGCGGAGTCGGTTCTTAAGATCGCGCTAGTCGGAACCGGCTCGTCGTTCATGTTATGGCTCTTGGGGATCGTGTCTTCTACAATTTCTTCCTGCCCGATTTTCAAGTCGCGAGAGTCGTCTTCCACTTCTACATACTTAAGATCATCGCGAAGAGTGCTGGAGCTCGTGGAGGAAACCGGATAGCGTCTGATGTAAAGGTTGTTCCTGCGCTTCGAGAGAACCTCGAGACTGCTGTTCTCCGTTGACGAGGACGCCGCATAGTACCGGTCAGTTGCGTTATCCGTGAACAACACGGGATTCTTGCGAATGAATTTCTTGCGCGCGTACCTCGGCTCGAAGTTCGGCCTCGTGGCTGGCGATGAATCTGGCTCCGACGTGGACAACGTAGAGGTCGTTTGTGCATGCACAGTGGATAAGTTGTCAGGCTCAGTAGACGGTAACAGCGTTTCCTCCCTGAACGCGTCACTCTCCGTGAAATCAACCGTGGCTGTCGCCAACGTTGACTCCACCGTAGTGACTTCTGTCGGGATCTCGCTCGTCGAGCGGTACTCTTCGTCGATGCCGCTGTCGATCGTAGACACAACGGCCGTACTGAGGAAATCGGTTATGCTTTCGCCGGAGGTGGTAGTGGATTCCGGGACGGGTGTCTCCAGAGTGAACTTCGTGAAACCATCCTCATTCATGGACAAAGTGGTCTCCGTGACTACGGTTTGAGTGGAGTCCTCCACTTCGCCTGTGACTGTCGGTTGACCGGTGACTATCGTCGATTCCTCAGCGTCCTTGCGACTGCTCATCGGGGTTGTCGATTCCGGGAAAAAGCTGGAGATATCCTGCGTCTCCTCCTCGGGAGTAGTCTCGGCCGACGTTGGAGACGAGGTGTCTTGAATCGGTCGTATACGCCTGATTACTTTTCGTCTACGCGCCACTTGGAACGACTTCTGCTCCTCCTCCTCTACCTCCACGGCGTTTGCAGCCGTACTGGACACGGGTCTTCTTCTCAGGATGACCTTCCGTCTCCTCGGCACTTCCGACGCGTTGTCGAGGGCGCGCTCAGTGGAAACGATCGTCACCAAGTCAGGATTAAACTCGTAGCTCTCGATCCGTGTGGTCGTTGTAGCGATGGCGTCCTCGGGTCGGTCGCTTGTATAGTCCACTTTGTCGCCGGAGACCGTGGTGACGTCAATCTCCGCGATCGGTTGCACGGTGTAGGTCGAAGGTTCGATGGTGTTTGATTCAACGGCGGAATCGACCGTCGTGACTTCCTGTTGAAACTCGAGTTGCGTCGTCGCCGTCGTCGTCACATCATTCTCCCCATCTACGACGTTCAGCAAGTCGCTTCTCTCAATATTGCCGAGTTCCGTGGCGGTATTCTCATCAGGCACCTTTAATGTCGTCGTCGTCGTCGATACGGCTCGCTTCTGATTCGACTCGTCGTTCGCCTTCTGCACAGATTCCAACTCGAATTCCACGTTGTTCCTCTTCTTCGTGTATTTGGTTCTGTCGTATAAATCGCGATTGACAGTGGTGGGTCTCCTGAAGACCCTGACGTTCGTGATCTTCTCGTTGTTCTCTTCGTCGTTGTTCTCGGCTCGTGAACGGAATGACGGATTCCTCCTCGATCCGCCTTGCGTTATCCTGACTATAGGGCTATCATCCAACTCGTTGGTAGACTCCGTACTGCTTGTTCTGCTTGGTCGCCGGTACCTTCTTTTGAAGCCACTTATAGTGCTGCTGACGGTCGTCGTGGTCGTCGTTTTACTTCGGTCTCTGTATCTTCCCGGGACAGAGTTCGTGGACGACGCGTCTGCAGAGGACGCGTCTGTGCGCGACCTATAAGTCGACGGAGTGTACCTGTTGGATCCTCTATTGCGTGTTCTGCCAGTGTCCCTGTTTCTGGACGCGTGCGTGTCCGTGTGGGAAGCGTCCACCTGTTCCACCGGCTCATCCTCGGCGACTCGGACTCCGTTGGTCGGTCTTGTCCTTAATCGAACTCGCCCCAGATACGGACTGGACGAGCGCGTGAGGTTTCGCGACGTTATACTCACCTTGGGCCTCACTTGGTTGCTCGAGGGGGTCGTCGTCGTCGTCGCTGTATCTGACGAGCCGCCGGATTTTCGCCTCGTAAAGCCAAACGGTCGCGGCTGCGACACCGCGGCGATCGTCGACCTACTCGCCGTGGTCGTAGTCGTCAACTGGCTCGCGCTGCTTGCTGGCACCGTGGTCAGCAGGATCTCCGTCGCAGAATCTTCCACCAGCTTCACCGGCTCCGTGGTGGAACTGATGGCGCTAGCATTGAACACTGGACCGATGCTCGATGGATAGTCCGATGGTTCGACGCTGATGACGGTGATGACTTCGGTAGACGTCGAGGTAGTCGGCGTGCTAGTCGTGGACGTTGGGCTGGCTGGAGTGCTGGTTTCAGGGTATTCTAATACTCTCGTGGCTGAAGTGGTCTCGATCGTAGGCTCCGATAACGGTGGTATCGCGCTGCCGGAATCCTTGGAGGTTTTCGAAGTAGTGCTTCGGAATCTTTGTATGCTGACGTACCTGGAAAGATCGACGTGTGAGAGCGTCAGATTATACGACAATGTGAAAATAGCTGAGAGGATAAGAGAGAGGAGCTTTGTGCGCAAAAACCTAGATTTCGTCGTTGATGAGCCATCATCTTTCTCTACCGATCGATCCGCGTCTTCCGAATCGTCGTCCTTCTCTGAATTCCTAAAAGTAATTAATAACAAATATAATGAACAATATAATGAACTAATAAGTAAATATCCGACATCCGAGTGCTCATCTCTTGTATTTTGCAATTTTAATCGATTAACGTTCCCCCAACGCTCATTATATCGTAGATGCAGTTGTAAAATAATTTTTCCATACCTGAAAACTGAACTTCGATTTCGGAAAGGTTTGGACGTTTCAGAGTTTGCCTCATTATCCTGTTGCCTGAGAAATATTATTAACGCATTATTAGCAATTTTCAACTGTATAAATTCGCAACTACCGAGCAGAATCGAATACATTCGTATTTACTTGTGAGAGAAGAAGGGTCGTCGTCTGCGAGTCGGCTGATCCTCCTCAATATCCACCTCCCTTTCTCCCACATCGTTCTCGTTTCTAAAAATCCCCAAATGCGATCAGAGACACGGTGTCAAACGAATTATTCTACCGATCGTCATACCTAGACGTCGTGGTGGAAGGTCGCGCGCGTCGGATGTTCACATAATTTGGCGTCACTCGTTGCGTAGACGAGCCACTGTCTAATGGATTATTGACGCTCTGCTCTTCGCTGAAAGCTATCTCGGCGTTGTCGTCCTCCTCGTCCTCATCGTTATCTTCGTTTCCTTTCTTGTTTGACCTGATATTGAAATAAACGGCATAAGAGGACATTCGATTTTATCGTTCATTTCGCCATTGAAATTTAGTTTAACCGTCTCCTCTTCAAGGTAATATCAGTGAGAAGACATTAAATAATAGCTAAATCTTGATTCGATGGCGAAGCCAGTCGATGCGGTTCTCGTATCGCGTGTCTCTCAGAGAAAGATAAGAGATTAGGGAAACTCACTTGGGTCTCTCGATAGTGACGTATTGAGGCTTCTGCGATCGCCTGAGACTCTTCACCTCGGGGATATCGTCCAAGCCTTCAAATTGCGCTCTGCCCGGTCCGTTCACGTAACTAGTCTGCGAAGATGACAGTACCGGCCGTTGACTGGCGATCTTGTTCGCTTGACGACTCAGTACACGTTCATATAAACTGCGACTGATCGTAGCCGGGGTGACGTTCGCGCTACCCGACGTCGTGTCGGAGTTCTTCTCTTGAAGCAGCAATTGTTTCTCGAGATGCTCTATTCCGCCTAAAATTTTGAGGAAAAAGCTTATTCAAGTACGTTTTACTAAAATGTCTAGATGAGCGTTAACGTTGCGAAGAAAATATGATAAGAAGATAATATGTTTGAAGATACTCGCCTGCTTTTTTAATAAGATCAATCAGCTCCTTGATCACCCGCGGATCCTCCTCATCCTCGCTGTCGATGGCTTTCTCCGGCTCGCTCGGTCTCAACGTTGTGGTGGTGGTTGTACTTGGTCTGCTTCTGGTGAGCGTTTTGTACACAAGTGGCTTCGCCGTCGTCGTGGTGGTTTTTGGTTCCTCCTCTTCTTCGTTCTCTTCGATCTCGTCCTCATCGTAATCTTCCTCTGAATCGTATTCCTCCTCTTCTGCTTCGGCTTTCGGGGTCGTTGTGCTGTGCAGATAAGTCGTGCGGCTGGTCGCGGCCGTAATGGGCGACCTGGTGGTCGAGACGACGGACGTCTTCGACTTGGGGCAGATCACATTACGGGGATAATCGCAGGAGTCTGCCGCTTTGTTGAACACCAATCCTGCGCGAATTGAGAAGACGCTAGTGTCGAGTTATAGTTGAAGATCAAGAGTTAAAATGTATGATTTTATCACGTTTATACCTGAGGGGCAGGTAAACTGATGGGCAACTACGCCAAGCCCGCTTGGGCCGCTATCCAAGCACCAGAAGTACTTCTTGCAATCACGGGGATGCGGGAAAAAGCCCTCGTCCTCGCACTTAAAGTCTGCAAAAATGCAGAATCCTCAATTCCACGCAGTTCAAGGATTTTTTAGTCTCTTTCCATATTTTTTCATAAAAATTGATTATTGTTTGAATAATCTAGATCGAGTTTCTAAGTGACCATTTGATGTCTCTTCACACACGAGAACTTACCAGTTCCTGGGTCAGGAGTAGTCGGTGGCTCGGGCGTCGTCAACTTGTTGCTCAAAGACTCGCCGTCGTCAGTCTTGGTCTGGCCTTTGCGTCTGGATTGCTTCCTGCGGGAACTGCGATCAGCGGAGCCGCTTCTCGTCTTGCTTCGACTCCGATTCTTCGGTCGCTCGATCTTCTCAGTGACCCTGACGGTGTTTTTAGCTTCTATGTCTTCGTCGGGCGAAGGTTCGTAGGATCTCCTCGACACCTCTCGATCCTCTTGCTCCTCGTCGCTCGCCTTCGACCTCGAGATGGTACGATACTTTGTTCTCTGCGAGGACACGCGTTTCCTCGCAGTCGAAGGCGCCGTGGTGGTTGTGCTTCTTCGACTGCTCGAGCCCAACTTGCGCGCAACGGAATTGCTCTGGTTAGTCTGGATGCGCGTCTTCTTCCGACTGTCCACCGACTTCGTCTTGTCGATCGTATTTTTGCTACGTGATGACGCAAAATATATATATAATATAATTACACATATAATTTTACTTCCTCCACTGAAATAAAATTTATATAGGGTAAAATGTCCACTTAGTAGCATTCCTCTCAGCCATTGATATTTTAGAAAAACCTGATTTTTCTTGCAACCAGGGTTGTAATTAAACTTCTTGCTTGCATTCTATGATTCCAAAAGATAATTTCAAAACTAAAACGAACAACAAATGGTCGTAAGAAAGACCAGGTTTTTCTAGAATGTCAATGACTAAGCGAAAAACCAATAATAAGGTGTTTTACTCTATACCTTGAAATAATGAATGACAATTGCCCTCGACCTCGGAATTTACCTGTTGTCCGTGAGCAAGGCCTCTTTGGCCGCCTCGATCAACGGGTAAGGTCGTCCATGACATTTGCCGCGGAAGTCATCGTTGTCGATCGACCAGAACATAATACCACCCAGCTTCTTCTCGTTCACATAGCGGGCCTTCAGTTTGACTATGTCCTCGTCGTCGTAGCCCACCCATTGGTCGGCTTTGAAAGCGTACGGTCCCATGGCGTTGGGATTCGGCTGGACGACCTCCCACTCGTCGGATTCTGCTATACCCTCGCAGATCTGGGAAGTCAAAGTTCGCGTTGCATACAAGACACACAAGAGAACACCCTACGCGAACTCTTCCTAGTCAGGTTTCCCCATTGACTCACCTCGTAATAGGCAAGGTAGCCTTTCTCTCGAGTGGCATCTCCTTCGACGCCCGGACCATCCGCGGGTGACCCAAGCTCGGTCGCGTCTTTGTTGAATAAAGTGTATGAACGGCCATACGTCGGTATTCCAAGAACGATCTTATTCGCGGACGCACCTTTCTCCATGAGATGGCTGATCGTATAGTCCTGAGACAACCGAATGTATATTGCGTAATCATTTCAATACAAAGACAAAAGTTTGTATCAACATGCAGTTTGTATGATTGTGATAGACGAACCCACGCGTTTTGGTTGAAGAAAACGGGATTTCTGGTTCTCGGATTTACATAGACGAATTTAGGAACCTAGAGATTTTATGTCCTTCAACCAAAACATGTTGGTTTGTTCATTAAAATCAAACTTCACGTCAACACAATCAAACTTTTTTCCGACATTATTATCTGTATATTCTACAGCACGATAAAAAATGTATTCAATCATTCGAACGTGAATACTCGAACCACAGAGTGATGAAAGTCCCAAGACGAGAAACTCACGATAGTCAACTCGGCGTCGTAATTGTACTCGTTGTCCTCCTCCAAGGGATACAACGGCGAGTGGTGATTGACAGCGGGCTCATACGCCGAGTGATAGTCGTAGGATAGAAGATTGATGAAGTCCAAGTACTGGTTCAGCCTAGGCATGTCGTAACCCTTGTCTATGTACTCGATACCGGCCGGCATCGCCATTGACAACAGTAGCCGCGGTCTGCCAGTCTTCGAGGCTTCGCGCTCGAACTCTTCGCGGAGTTCCTGCCGATTCGTAATTCACGATTGACGTCGCGGTCAACGTTTACATCTGCCGTCGTGATCGACGATAACGCACGGCATCGTTTTCTGACACAACGGAAGCGAATTGCGCACGAGCAACCGCGCGAAGGGGCTGTCATTAGCCGCGTTACTTCTTTCCGTGCTTTTTGATTCTTATCGAGAGAGCCGCGCTTTGCCATCATTTGTATCATCAGCAATTAGTCACTTCGCTCGAGTTACTCCCGCGTGATTCGTTTCCCCGATTAGAGCGAAGTCGCGCAATCGGTCGTCCATGAGTTCCATGTTCATCGGCGCGTTCCCGCCGATCGAAGCTCCTCGATGTGCTTCTCGCGGCGAGATTTCCGCAAGGAGGGGAATCTCCCTGTGTCCTTCTCGCGGCGATAAGCAGCGCGGTCATCGGCGCACTTACCTGGACGAGGTTGGCGTAATTGTCCTTATCTCGCGGCTTCCCGCCGTCCCTGAAGGCCGGATATTCCCAGTCGAGATCGAGGCCGTCGAAGTGATTCTGCCTGAGAAACTTGACGGCGTTCTTGACGAATTCCCGCCGTCTAGCCGGGTCTGCCACCATCGGTGAGAATCGGCTGGAGCCCTCGTTCCAGCCACCGATCGCCAGCATTGTTTTCAGGTTCTTATTGTAAGTCTTCAGGCCGGTAAACTTCGCGTACCCACCTGTCGCGTAAGCGAGCAAGCGAGCGAGCATGTTAATCGACGAGTGAAAGTTAAATATCAACCGAAGAGATGACGTTCCCCGACTAGAATCGCGCATCGTCGTAGCGACGCAATCGCGAATAGCTCGCGAGGTACACTCAATCGAATCAGCTTGGATACGTGTGGGCGAGTAATTCGAAGTCCACACATTGTGAGTAACAACATTGGACAAAGTTAGAAATGCTGCTTTTCTACGTCACCTTTTTCGATGTCCTGATACTTGTCGAACGGCTTCAGCGCGTTGTCCTTCGTGAAGCCGCCGAACGCGTAGATCAGGTGGGTGCACAGGTACGGATTGATGTTCTGTGGGGAGAACTTCGCCGTACCGGGCCGGTACACCGACCAGTTCGTGTAATAGCAGACGATTTTGCGCTCGGCGATTCCTGGAAGATGAGAATGTACTAACGAGCGCGAAAGGAAAATGAAGTGAACATGCATTGTCCCACACAAGAAAAGGTATACCGAAATTTTGAAAGTGAGTTGTCCATCGAGACAATTTTCGAATATGATAAAAGGTAAAAGAAAACACTGACATCAACCTGAAAACAATTCATTTAAGTGCTTCTGGCCTCGGCTGGCGAAACACGAGACTTAATCTTTTTTTAAACCCAATGCATGTGAAAAAACGACTAAAATAGACAAAGGATGATATCAATTGAGATTTTCTAAATGTCATCTTAGGTTCTTTAGATGAAGCCTTTTTTGGATAAGAATGGGTTTCAAAGCGTATGCATGATTTATGCGTGTGGAAATCCCTTTGTCTGGCGCACAGTTAAATATCCTATTAAAGTGCATGAGAATACTTTTGTAATCAAAGTTTTGGAGTTTTACATTATGTATTTACGGATAATTTGAATGTAGACAAGATGAAAAGAATATATGAAAAAGCATTATTATTCTGTCTTCTAATAAATTGGCCCTGATAACACCAGATGGGTTCTCAAGGATGAAAATGTGAAAAGGGCATTATTACAACGGATTAGTCCTTACAGTCTTTCGATGCTTTTCGCGAATTGCGAAAAAACGGACCTCTCTCTGCTGCCAGTAGCGCGGTACGGCGTGTGCCGGCAATTTTCTGCAATTTTCACCGCGAAACCGTGAAACGCGCTCGCGTATGCGGAGCGCGAATTAATGCAGGTCTGCGACGCGTGCAGATCCATCCACAGTGTGTACGTCTCCTATACGTGCGCACATCTATGGATCTCCTCGATTATACACACAGCGGACCGTACCGAGCGCATACTCGCGTGCCAAACACGGAGAGAACGCGTAAATGGCTGTGAGAGAAAACGCTGCCGCGGGAGAAATTGAAACGCGATTGAACTTTCGTTCGTGTGCGAAGGAATAGGCGCCGCGCATCGGCAAAGCAGGTGCTGTTCTTACGAGATCGCCTCCGAAAATGCTCTCCCGACGACGGTCTTCCGTCACGTTCCCAGCGCCTTGTGACTCGCGCTGGAAAAATTGGTGGACTCGCATAATCCCGGAAAATCAAAATCCTGAAGTCAGAAAAGCAGCAAATCAAAAGTGGGAGAACATCCTAAAAAGTCTCAATTTTGAAAACTGTGAACAACGAAATGTACCGAAGCACAATTTTTCCAAAATATTGAAACCATGAAGTTGTCTCATAAAGTTGCGCGACAAGTTATTGACAACTTTACACTGAGAAAAAATACTTAGTACTTGTAACTATATATATAATCGGATAGAGAAATAATTACTACAAATTGTGGTGAAGGAAATCATTTTTTATGTATTAAATTCTACTGTAATGTTAGTGATAATAACCTAAAGATCTCTAGAGGATGTTCTGAGGACGTTCTTAAAATATCTTTAGAGAAAAAGAGAATGTCCTGTGGAGATCTGTGCTGTTTAGGAACTTCATATGTGTGTTACTATTATAATATTTGCGTTAGAATAGCTAAAAAATATATTTGGGACTAGAAACAACTATAATCTTAGATTAACTGTTTTTTTCTTTCAGTGCATTCTTTGAATATTCCGGGAAATTTCCTACACTTAATTTTCGGGATTCCGACTTTTCAGGACGTTGTCCCACTTTCAGAATTTCGATACTCCTTTTTTCTCGAGGATTATGCGAGTTTCCTGTAAAATCGATACGTTCTTGCGGAAATGCGCGGGTCTACGGTGGAAAATACGACGACAGCTATTTGGACGGTAATCTTCGAGTTTTTCGAGATTATATAAGCAAAATCGCTGAGACGCATCACGCACCTGTCAGTCTTGATATTTGAATGCTCTTGCAAACTTCCCAGAGAACTCTCTCTCTCCTTGATAAACTGCCGTGTGACAGAATCTGAATCATTCAATTTTGCACGCTGTTGTGCCGTGTTAGATTTTCATTTATAGAACTTCGGGGCCTGATTACCTCGAGGATCTTTCCTCCCACGACGACAACAACGACTAATCATCGCGTTGTAACGAAGCTATCGTGACGAGCTATCGTTACGTGGGTGGGCGAATTGAATTGCGATATCTACGCGCGAGTAACTTCATAATGCATAATTTTACAATGTACAACTTTCCTTGCCTCGTCGACGTAACGACGATTCGCGACGCCACGTAATCCCACCGAAAATAGTATCGCAAGAGCGATACTGTTACGCGAGGGGATATTGTTTCCCCGTCATCATTCGAGCGTCTAATTGGCCTAATGCAAACACGTACGAACACACGTATACACACACACATACACACACACGTGTCTACGTGTGTGATGGTATGCATCTCGTTGCCCTGCTTCGCACACGCGTAATCATACGCACGAAGGCTGACTTTGACAGCTCGCCGTAGCAAGCCGAGCGGAGCGCGTACTTTCGACTCGCGAATTATCCGTCGTGCTTTCACCGATCGAGCGTGGAACGAGGCCGCGACTCCGTGCAGAAACAATACGAGCGACGCCTGCGAATTAAGGCCGGTGTTGACCCTGACCAGAAACCCGCGACAGTTCGGCGAGGTCGGTGATTATCTCCGCGGGCGAAAATCGCCGTAATTTCGGCGGGTTTGATCGGAAAATTTATGCAGATATTCAGACAACGTTTTGACTCTTCAGTGGAGAAACGCGAATTACAGACTTCTTTAATCCTTAGAGTAATAACTTCGCGATTAATAGTTCAAAATCTCACGTAGTTGCTTGCGAAACGATAAAGGAATTTTTCGTTAGGTTCTACCTGTACACCGCGCTGAATAACAGAATAATAACGGATTGTCGAGCATCCTGCATATCTGCTCAAAATAGGAGCGATCAGATGAAAAAAGAGAGAATTCACATCTTGGCAGAAAAATATAAAACAAAGAGGCAGAAATCAATGAAAATTCGCTCTGGCGCAGAAACTCTGTTGACTACCACTTGACAACCAGCGCGAGTTCTGAATGATTTCTGTCTTTCAACTTTTCTGCCGAACTGTAAATTCTCCCTAAGGATTAAAGGCTGGTCTACAATATGCTCTTTGCGTTCTGTTTCTAGTCTTCTATCTTCTCCTGGCTTAAAGCTTAAGGTTTGAGTCAGAAGAGATGAAGAGAAAGAAGCAGGAAGCAAAGAGCATATTGTAGATCAGGTTTAAAGCTTAAGATTTGAGTTAGAAAAAGATAAAGAGAAAAAAGCAGGAAGCAAAGAACACATTGTAGATCAAGAATAGACAGAGTCGAAACGCCTCTGATGCAATACAGCGAGTCGGCGAAGAGGGGCTGCAAGATGAGTTTTTTGAATCCGCGAGGAATGTCTCCCAAAGCGAATCGGGGATTCTGGAGCACCTAGTGCGACGCGAGTCCGCGTGAGCTGAATCTCGGATTCCGTTGACTCGTTTAACAAACACACCTCCGCCGGCTTGACGGCTAGCAAAGATTGCCAGCACGGGAACGCTCGAGATTCTCTTTCACCGCTACGCCCACGAGGCGTATTCGCGATAGGTCCCACGCTACGTATCGCAGTTATACACGAACGGTGCGGTATATAAGTGCATTGGAGCTGCGGCGCATAATAGCCCAGATAATATCGAGTAAGAGGCCCGCGATCCGCGCTCGTGATCGCGCGTTTTTCCGGACTGCCGCGCGGTAGGACGCGGGAAAAATCGCGGCGCGTTCCGCACACCTTGGCGATCACGAAGTGGAAAGCCTTATTAAAAGTCTTATTACGGCAATCTCTTCCTCTCCCTTTCTCTCTCTCTCTTTCTTGCACGCGCGCACGCCCGCACCGTCGTTCACTCTCCACAATTATTATTGTCCGTTGTGACGAGTGCCAACCGCGCCATTTCATCTTCGCGCGATTTATGGGAACGTTAACTTCCTCGCGCACTTTGCTCGCGGCGTTCAACGAGCGCTCACTAGAGGCGTCGCGAAAAATTACGGTTCATTACGTAAAGATATATCTAAGAGTACATCTTTCAGGGTACTACTAAGAAACTACTCCACCGAGCAGTTTCTCAAAACCCTCTGCAGGGATCGTTTGTCTCCGACGAGATGTCATTTATTTGTCCGCACAGCCATGAAAGAGCAGAGAGATGTGATAAACTCGTCTCATTCGAGAGCGCTTTGAGGCAAGTCGCGTTTGCAGAAGTCGAATCTAACACTAGATTGTCAATGCTCGTCATATCGGCTTACATTTCAGGAACAATTTAATTGAAACATTTTGTAATCTAAGGATTACTTTATTTTCCTTCTGCAAAAATGTTTAAGGACGTTAAGACAGATAGTGGATATGAATGGATAAAAATTTTTTTGATTGAAATAATTGATCGATATTCAATACGACAAATCAATAATCAAAATCAATCAATCGTTATATATTCGATCACGAATAAATTAAACAATGAAATTAATTGTCAATCAATGTACGATCAATCGTATCAAAGTTCGATTAGTAGTGAATACCATCGATTGATGAAATTATTTGTGTTGTTTTACACAAGGCGATTGATTCATTTCGATTGCTGGTTTGCCGATTATTTTAGTCGAAGAGAATTTTCATCGATTAATGCTCAACACTGAACACAGGTTACAAGCAGGAAAAACAATGAAAGGAATCAGGTCTGTTCTTTTTAGCCGAACTGTCTGGTGCACACCAATGCAATAAGTCAGAGTGAAACAGACATGTTTTGCTTCACTCAAACTTATTGCACTAGTCTGCACCAGTTCAGGTAGTTCAGGCTAAAAAGAATAGACTTAAAGTGACTCCACACTGGCAATAACAGGCTAACTACTACTGCTAGCCACCGGCAATCTGGGGTTAACTACGGGTTGACTGACTTCGGTGAAAGACTTTCGGTCTTTTCTCCGGGACTACTGCGGGAAATCGAACGCAGTCGTTTCGTTCGGTCGGCCGGAAAAACCGACGATTTACGAGCGCCATGAGAGAGAGAGAGAGAGAGAGAGAGAGAGAGAGAGAGACCCGTTCCTTTTTCCTCGCGCGAGTCTATTCCAACTTCTTACTTTATTACAGTCGCAGAGCGCGGGATTGCTCTCCCGCACGGAAACGATTATCGCCGTGAGATCCGAGGGTGCAGTCGGCGGATAAACGCCGGGGATCCGACAGTTAAGTGCCGCTTTACAGTTCGTTTCGCAAGGCGGGTTTACTTTGGCGGCCGTGCGAGCACTCCCTGAGATTTATCTCGGGCTATAATTTATTTTTAAGACCTATAAGCGTCACTCCTTGCCCGCTCAGTGCTCCGGCTGTCGATTAGTTCGAATTCGGGAGTATTAAACACGTAATGACTCCTTATTCCTCGTTTAATCTCGAGCACGCTTCGTCAAGAGAGAGTCGATTCCCGACTTCCTGACGGGGAAGCGCGACTTTGCTCACTGCGCCAGGTCATTCCATAAGCGATGTCGTTTCTTATCTTACAAGCATGACTGTCTCGTTCAGACGACGCACACTGAGAGAAAAACTCTCTTATATTTAGAGATGTGCGAACTATTCGAATTCGAATCGAATCAAGTGAAATTCGATTCGATTCAAATTCGAATCCGAATAATTCGAAAATTTCGAATCGGAAAGATTCGAGTACAGATCGCGCACATTAGTATTAACGAAGAACTATTAAAGACATCCAGCCTTACGGGAATTAGCATGACTTGAAAAGTTTGCTATACATTGAGATTTTCTTAAAAAATATTAAAAGATAATGGTTTCTAGATAAATTCTTACCGACAACTGTTCGATCAATATGTGTCGTTGCGCAGCTTTCAAAGCAGGAACTGTTCCATACACATTTACCGATTATGTTATATATCTCTTACGTTAAAATGAAATAATTTCACACGATCAATGTTATCTCTCTCTCGTACTGTAATCACTATTTTCATATTGAATTCAATGATTATGTTAATTAAAAATTCTTTCAACGATTCGATTCAATTCGAGTGAAATTTCATCGATTTAACTCGATTCGAATTCGAAATTAAAATCTGAGATTCGGCTCAATTCGATATTAAAAATCTTTGATTCGCACATCTCTACTTATATTCTTCTTTCTCAATCTGCTTAATTTTCACTTAACCTTTAGATCACTTACTCCTTTTCTCTCCCGATCTACACTGAGAGAAAAATTATCTTAAAATCAACAAATATTTCCTTGGTGGGTGCCATATTCGAACCCACCAAGGACATATGGCACCCACCAAGGAAATATTTGTTGATTTTAAGATAATTTTCCTCTCAGTGTAGATCGGGAGAGAAAAGGAGTAAGTGATCTAAAGGTTAAGTGAAAATTAAGCAGATTGAGAAAGAAGAATATAAGTAGAGATGTGCGAATCAAAGATTTTTAATATCGAATTGAGTCGAATCTCAGATTTTAATTTCGAATTCGAATTGAGTTAAATCGATGAAATTTCACCCGAATCGAATTAACATATTTACTTAAATCAAATATT